GACAGTCGGTTCTTATTGTATGACAAGCTACGGGTCACAGGGAGGGCCCAGCTCTGTGCTGCTTTTCTCTCTGGGGAAGGTCCTCTTGGGGTCTGAGCTCTGTGGTGTAACTTCTGAACGGACCATGTTTAATGCAGAGAGAAGAGGTGTGACTGTAATTCTTGTCATAGAATAAGGCTCGTTAACTCTTCTTTGCCAAATTGCCAGAGTAATTACCAGTTATTTTGCAGCGTAATCTAGAGGTTCAGTTAATTTACAAGTGAGGTACAATACACTACTCAGCAAAGCAACCTAAAAGGAGAGAGCAGCCAGTGATGGTGCAGCAGCATGCAGTGAACTGTCATGCAGAAGACCTGGATAAAGTCTTAACACCCCAGTAGCTTATAGATAATGCACTTTGTCTTGGAGTAGGGCACGCGGGCTCATTTAAAGCAGGGTTCTTCCCTCCCCAACAGAGCTGCTCTAGAGCAATTCTAGTGAGAACAAAATAACTCTCAAAAGTGGCAGGTGAACAGATTTACCAAAAGTAATTTTTGTGTGTGTGTTCTGTAGAGAATATCCAATCACACCTTCTATTGAAGGACTCGGTCACCTTGGCCCTTCTGGTTCCAGGCCATTAGGAATTCCCAGCACATCTCAGAACTATGATCAATTATCTGGTAAGGGGTGCTAACCACATTGAAGACCTGGGGTGGGACTCCGGTCCCATTTAATTTCCTTGATGAAGTACTAGGGACTATAGTGAATACAAAAAGTTCATGAACTGCTTGAAAGAGTAACAGTAGTACAAAGTGCAAAAACAGGAGTGCAGGAAAGTGCAGAGAAATTAACTGAGATGCGAACAATCTTCAAAAGCATCACATCTCCTGATATGAAGCTAGCTTTGGCCCAGAAATGCTGTTTTGGTAACTGGGCAGCAGACGTATGGAGTGCATATAACTCAGTATATTTCCTTTTTTTTTCCTGCAGGTCAAGATGAGTAACTTTGTCTAGCTGAGACTTACACTGAAGACTGGTCCCAGACCTGGCAGGGAAATAAAATGACAGTTACACAATGCACGTGTTGTTTCTACAGAAGCACAGGTGTCAGAAGCAGTACATCACCTCACCACTGCTGCTACAACTGAGTGCTGCATGTCTGCTTGCTTCCTGGTGGCCTAATGCTTAAACCACTGACAAAGGTAAGCGCCAGCATCACACTGATCATGGCAGGCTCCCACTATCTCCCTCTCAAGCCATCAGTGACTTGATTTCTATTAGTAAAACATTCACTTTCATGTCTCAAGAACTTTAACCTGTTCTCAAGTCAAGCTGCTTTTGCAGTTACGGAATTAACGCAAGGGAAGGGTCAGGAAGTTACACAACTTCAAATGTTCTGTGCTGCAATAGGAGCAGGGTGAGATGGGATTTGCTCTTACACTTTACAGCACCACCAGCCCTTCCAAAGTCCACATCTTTTCATGAGATCAGAGACGATCTCCAAGCTCCCCACTTACCTTGTTGACTTGAGCAAGAGGAGTTCTGGCACCACTCACAGGCATTCGTCCTCGGCTGCTTTCATCAAACAATCTTCCAGGGGACCTTTCTCTACGGGTGCTCAAAAGCCGGCCTGGAGATTTCTCCCTCTCCAGTGGTCGCCCAGGTGATTTGTCCCTCCGCAGCTCTGTCCTGCCCTCACGGTACCGATGGGGTGTGCTTGGTTCTCGAGGGTGGCTGGGACCTTCGGGTGGTCCTGGGCTCGACGCTACCCGCTTGGTTATGTGCTCGTTGTATGTGGGAGGACCTCTCTTGTTAGGGCTGCTGTCATTCAAAAATAATGGACGCGAACAGCTGAGCGACAAAAACCTCATGTTACATTTCCTCTTAGCAAAAATGTAACTCTCCCGAAATCTCTAGTAGTGTTCACCTGAAAAATCAGACCTCCCTAAGCCCTGCTAAAAAGTGCAAAGATGGATCCATAAGCTACGCATCCCAACTTTTCAGTTTTCAGCAGCGCTATCAACTGTGGTATTTGTGCACTCATCTCAAGTACCACTGCCCTGCTGAGCCTTGCCTCCCTGCATGCTCTCCTTTAACAGAAAGCGACTCTTGATTTAGAAATTCTGACAGTTGATATTTAGTATCACACCATCGCAATCTAAATTCACCCTGTTTCGAAGTCACGGTCAACACAAAACAGCTGAAGAGCTCAAAACATCCCTTGTGTTTGTGCAAGAGATTCGCCACAGATTCCTACACAGCTGATGTTCCTCAGTGCTCTGGATTTTAAAACACGAGGAACATTTCTTGTTCCATTCCAGCACTACAGTAACTCACTAACACTGGCCTCTGTCTCCAAGAAAGAAGTGAGGGCAACAAACATTTAAGGGGGAAAAGGATATCTGGAGTGAGTTTGCTTACACAAGGACCACAACACACCAGCTTAGCCATACCTGCGTGTAGCAGAAGATCCTCTGTGGTGCTCATTGTTGGTCTCCTTCACCAGATTGCCCTTACAGCAAATCACCCTTAATTTATCTTGGTAAGAGGAGGCCAAGTAGATAGCTCCAGATGAAATTGCAGGCCCTAGATACCGTGGATTTGGGATCTCCAAGTGGGCTCGTGCAGGAGTTCTGGGTAAAATTGCAGGAAAAAGTATTTACAATGACAACACTGCACCCTTTCCTGGCACACGCTGCTCAAAAGAATGAAAAGGGAACAACTTACCCTAGAGAAGCCCGTGCCTGAATCTCTATCACTTCAAGGGAATTGAAGTGGGTCACAAACAGATAAGGCTCCCTATAGGCTGAAGGAACATCACAGAGGCAGGAGAAATACAATATAAAGTTATCTGTTAGAAACTTATTAAAATGTTTGTGAACACAACAGAATGCTGGGAAGCCCACTGGGAAAAGCTAGGAAGAGCACATTTTCTGTGATGTCTTATTACAAACAAAATTACTAAGAAGAGAGACAGGAGCTTTGAGAATTGCTGCTACAAAACCACCTGTATCCAAAGAAATTTTACTAACTGAAATAATATGAATAAGGCATAAAAATGGGTTATTAACTGAACAAAATCCAGCGGGTAATGCAGAAGGGCTGAAGGAGCCACACTAAAATGATATATTCTTGACTATTTGAGGTATTTCCAAGCATCATCAAAAATTCCACTAGCCAGTTTAGTCGCTGTCAAGCTAAGAACATTAATGGAACACATCACTTTAGTCTGTCTCAACTGTTTACACCTCAGAAGGCCTGCCATTTGGATTTATAATGATAGCCATCATGTGAAAATTGCCATCCTTCCTGGGAGAGCTGGGAGAGGGAAGAGGAAATGGAACTGCTGAGAGCAAAGAATACCTTTCCCACAAGTATGTTTCCTCATTCCACTGATGTCCATACCCCAGTGAACCTCCCCCTGCACCTACCAAAAGCTAAGGGCAAGCGATTCCACTTCAGGTCATCAGTCCTACTGCGTCTTCCATAGGAATCCACAAAGACACCAAACTCTGCCAAGAAAAGTAATGTCAAGTCATGAGCAGTTTTGAAGACACAAAGCATTCTGGCAGGGATTTCTCCCACTGAGAAAATGTACACGATCTTGCAAGTCCCACAGGTTGCCTTGACACTGTCTAGACTTAAAGAGTACTTGGATACCGAAAGGTATTTGAATTCTAGGTCTCTCTGTACCAATTAAGGTAAGGTTATTATTCCATCTGTTTCTGCAGCTGGGAACACTATGCTACTCCTACTGTAAGACACTCAGAACTACTGATAGTGGGCTTTTGAAGACTTCCTGTGCATTTCCATGACACTATCCTGAAGGGCCAATAAAAGCAGCTGTAAGAAAAAGTAACACACAAGACATTTTAAAAGTCTCTTCTATCAAGCATTCCAAAGTTTGAAAGGCCTTAATTGGGATAATCAAACACCTGTTTTACTGAACATTAACTACAATCCCTCCTGGGCAAAGAAGACTACCTGTGGTACTGAGCCATGAGTACAGAGAACTTTTAAGCCAGAAGCAAGCTGATCAGAAGCACTGCAGAAAATTGGATCAGGAATAGGTATTTTAGCACCAATTTTCTGCGTATCTTCAATGTTGAAACACCAGCTGCAAATCTTTCAGGGCTTTTAGATTCACTATTTCTAAAAAGTCTTTTGTTACCAGGCCCTTGGAAGTCAACTCTGTCCAGCTTTCTCTCTCAGCAGCACCTTTTGTTTGTTCCCATACCAAGAACAGATGCAGTGCAACAGCTGTACAACCACACAATACACTTACCATGAAAACACAGCAGATACTCCTCCCTCTGTCCTGTTGGGTTTACTTGGATGATGCTGACTGGGAAACTGTTGGTGGATGCAGCAAACACAGCGGAGGCCAAAGTGTGGTCATTTTTATCCAGGAACTCTGCAAAGAGAATGGAGAAAAACAGCTAGATCAGCACATCAACTTTTTTTCCCCTAAAGCAGTACACCACAGAACCTGTGGAACCATTTGGTGCATTCCTTAGAAAATGCTTCCTACCCTCCAGTGTGTACTGCTTCATCTCAATTTCATAGAACTTGTTGGTTCCAATAATGATGCTGTAAGTGGTCAAATGGATACAGCTGCAGGGCTCTGAGGTTTCAATCTCCTGGAAAAGAGAAGGAATGGATAGACCAGTATTAGTTCCTTGTAATTGTATACAGATATTGCTTATTATGGAAGGTTACACAAGGGCTGCTCTGAAAGTAGAGCCTCCTATTTTATTAAGTTGCCCCACAATATCAGAGGTGGATATTGGTGGCATAGCAGTAGAGGTTGAATCTTCTCACCAATATTCTGTTATATTTTGCTGCTGTTTGATAGATGGCAGCAGAGGGGCAGTCTAACAAAATAGCATCTGAAGTAAAGGTGTAAGACTGAATTCCTCCACGTGGACAAAATGGCACCTACTGACATTCATCAATGCTTGCTGAATGCTTGTGGAGATCAAACAGTGGATGTGAGCACAGTGAGGTGGTGGGTGGTGTGTTTCAGCAGTTTAAAAACACATAATTTGTAAATAAATCCGAGGCATTACTTTTGGAGCAACCTATGAATATTGCCACATTTATAGTGGAGAGAGACAGTAACCTTTCAGCATCCTGGAACAATAGTCCTGTTTGAAGGGAAAGTTTTATTTGGTTGGAAGTGATGCTTGAATAGAGACTTGCAAGCCAACTCATGTCCAGGTGCTAACCTCAGTGAGAACCTCTTCCTTTTAGAAAGACACCTTATTCTGAAAGGCATTCTGCTCTCTAGCTCAGTTTACTGGAATAGCAGGGAGTGGCTCCCTGCTTATTTGTAATAGCTTGCAGCCACACCAATGACTGCACGTCTGAAAAGCTGCCTGGAGATGATATAACAAACCTGTGACCTGCTGTAGGGAACCTGCTTTGGCAGGGGGGTTGGACTCGATGATCTCTGGAGGTCCCTTCCAACCCCTACAATTCTGTGATTCTGTGAAACCGTTTGGTTTCTCTCAATCCTAAATTGCAGCAATCATGTCACATGTTTGTCTCCAGAGTCATAGATTTGATGTTGACTTCTGTAACCTCTATTGTCTACTGTTTATCCCAGTTTATCTGGAAACTTAGTTGACAGAACAGAAGGGCATATTCTGGGCTTGCTGCCATCTTGTTAGGATCTAAATTGAGTTGTCTGGATCATCAAAGACGTTGAAGTCGAATGGCAGCATTTGCAGAAAGCAGCAGCTGTAAGTCTTCAGAGTTTTCTGTCAAGTGGCACTCTGTCATGAGCAGGAGTTGGTATCAGCTACGATTGTACACATTGCAGGTTTGCTGGCATCCATACTGTGTGTGCCAAGATTTGTCCAACACGTGTATCTCAACTCTCCAGGAGGCCAGCATCTGAATTACTGCATGTCTGCCTGTAAGTGACTGGCTGAAGAATTGCAGAGATTCTGCTTTTCACATATGCACACGACAGAGCAAAGCAATGCACGCTCCAGAACCATGCAGTACTAATGGTGCAGGTGGAAGATGGCTGCATACACTGGAAGTATATGCACAGCCATGTGAGATTTGTATCTTACAGCCTTGTTGGCTGTATTTATCAGCTGCTTATCCTGTGATGGGATAATACCAAATGAACTTTGATCAGCATTGGAACAGTAAACAAGTTATTTAATTGCAAAGAGAGAATTCATTTGTTGAGGATTTCTCCAAAGACAACCAAAGGGAGGGAACACCAATGGGTAAGTAAGAAAAAAGCCTTCTTTGGGTAAATAAGCACAGGTACGGGTACAGCTGGGTCCAGTATCTCAAAAACCTCAATTCTGTTCTCTGTCTCTCAACATATGCCAAACCTCATCACAGGAAATCACCCTGTGCTCTCACTTTCCTCTGCGCACATAGCAATTTTCTATCACTTCTGCTGGCAAACAAATGTTCTGGAGCAAACATCTTAAACTTTTTTTTTGCATGCATAAGAACAATGCAAAGCCTTAGTGCAGTGTAGGAATTACCTCAGCTACTGAAAGGAATTAATAAGCTTACCTTTCTGATACAGAACTTGCTCAAGCTCTCATTGTATCGCAGAACAACCACTTTATTGGGCATGGCTGCACAGATGCAAAGACCATTCTCAACCTGTAAGGAGGATTACAGCCATAGGTTAGGGTGATAATAAAGTAAATTTTACTGTTGAATGTGTGGAACAGATCCAAAGACCTTTCAACACAAAAGGAAATTTGCAGAGATAAGCAAGTCCATTTTTAGTAGGGTAGTTATAGAGCAAAGTAGTGAAAGGATAACAAGCCTCTTGAGATTCTCAAAGGAATATAAATCTGAACTGTTTCTATGATGCCTTTCATGCTTATAACAAATCAGAAGCCTTTTACTAAAATCAGTAAGAAACCAACATGAGGTAAGTTGAATTTTAACCCCTCAAACTGCTACCTTAAAGATCACTTTGAACTGAATGATGTTCAGTTTGTTATCAGAGTGCTGCGCAGAATTAATTGTTAATGAGAATTTTTACTGTGGCTAAATGTTCCACACTGACCCTAGGAATTAGCATAAATATCAAGCTTTATCAAGTGACACAAATAAGTAAATTCGCCAGCATGGAAACTGTTAGATGACATTTGAGAACAAACAGTGAATGGAATTCACTGACTATAAATCTTAAAGCTGAAGCAAACTCTGAGGAGACAGCTACACTGTGCTTTGATGCATTTCTTGTTATATAGCAGTTTAGGTTATACCATCATGTCACCCTGACTCAATTTATTCACATTTGTGGTAGATTCTCCATCCCATCTCCAGCTCAGTCTCTCTTTTCCACCTATACTGCTCTTATTTGAAGAAAAAAGATTTTAAACAAGAATACAGGCTTTGCACTTGTTGCCAGTGAAATAAAGATGCTGATTTGATTAATATTAAACTTGGTAGAGGCTAAAGGGTGCTCTGGGAGCAGGAGGGAGCTGTGTCCTACCTTGCCAGCAGCAAAAAGATGACATCCTTTGACAGCCTCAAAAACGTTTGGTGAGATATCAGGTTGGGCTGGAAGGTGAGACTGGGCTAGAGATTGCTTCACCTTTTTTACATCAACAAGACACAAAGCCCTTTCTTCTCCTGCAGACAAAAATGGTTACATTTTGTCAAGGGAAAACTCCTTGTTCCCTGCAAGTCTTTTTTGTTACCTAAGCAGCAGCTTATCATTACAGGCTGTTACTGTGGAAACAGTCATAGTGTACCATGTAGAAGTCATTTCATATTATTCCTATTAAAAGTGAAATAGAAAACTTATCTTAAAAAAAAAAATAAAAAAATAAAAAAATAAAACCACCACAAAACAGGCAATAAATCCACTGGGAAAACAATTCTCTGTGGATTAATAGTGTTGCTAACGTCAAGTAGGTCATCACTAAAAGCAGCCTCATTAGTGCACTATCCAAAATTATCCAGAAAGTTTTCTTTTACCCTTTAGAAAGTCCCTAAGAAGAACTCTTCTGTGCCAACATAACTGGCAATGAGTTTCCAAGTGCTCCAATAAATGGTATTACAGACCATGCCTGATTCCTCTCACATGAATGTTTAACTCAGCCTTCAATTACATATTCATTTATGAGAAAACACCAGACAGTATTGTGTTAGCCACTGCTCCTGATGACACACCAGTCTTAAACAAATAAACACAATTGTGTAATTAATCTAAAGGAAAGCCTGGGCCTCTGGAACCTGCACAGCAGCAAGTTTCCAAAGCTATCAGCAGAAGGTTACTGCAGCACACACAGCAGCATACAGCCCCCTACCTGCTATCATGAGTAGCTTCTCCAGATCCTTGATGAGGTGAATTTGGAACACAGCACCCACTCCTGGGATGTGCGTTAAGGAATTCTTTAATACATTCAGGGCATAGAGGCCTTCCTCTGCACCCACCAGTACAACCTACAGAGACAGCAGGAAAAAAAAACAAACACTGCACTGTATGAGGAGAACAAGGAATGCTCCAAGAGCAAGTTTGGATGAGTGTTTACCAGAAGATGCAGTGAAAAGGACAAAAAAAGGAAACCAATAACCAAGGACATAATTACACACATTGCTGTGAAGGCAGTTTTCATGAGTGAACTATCCAGTATTCAGTAAGGTTCAACTGACCATTGTCATTACCTGGTCACTGAAGGGCATTGTGCAATTTATATCCAAACGGTCCTCACCCTCTAGCTTCAGCAGGGAGTTCCCAAGCAACTTCTGTAAATAACAGAAAGAACTTCTTTGTTATTGCTAAGTCAAACTTCCTCTGCTTCTCCAGTTGTATTTTAACAATGCAAAATCATGATTTCAGATGGGATAAAAGTTTAGTATAGATTTTCTTTTCTGATAAAGCTAAACGTTGCAGGGATCTCTCCTACAAAAGAAATAGTAAACTTTCAGCTGCCTGAAATGCAGTCAGAAACTGATCAGAATTAACCTAAACTTGTGTACAATTTATTGTTATCCCTATAATTTCCAATTCCCTCCATCTCTGGCAGTGGAGCACTGGCTTTTTTTTTTCCAGAAGGATAAAGACATCCAAATGTCAGTGAGAGCATCTATTTTCTCAGAGACGAAAGAAATGTTAGCATGAGAGATGATTTCCTCCTAATCCGATATTCATTACTTCCAGAGCCAACATTTTAATATGAAATGCCATAGAATCAAGTCTCCCTTCCTCAGAAAACAGATTTATCAGTACAGCAATGACAAAAGGCTATCCAAAGTCATAACAACTCAATTTAACCTTTTATCCTTATCAGGAATAAAACTAAAAGTAAAAAACAAACACATTCCTCTCTGCTACAAAACAAAAAGAAACCCCAATTTTTTAGGAAAGAGCTCCTTTCTTTCTCTCTTTCTCTTTCTTTCTCTCTTTCTCTCTCTTTTTTTCTTTCTCTCTCTTTCTCTCTCTCTTTCTTTCTTTCTCTTTCTCTTTCCTTCTTTCTTTCTTTCTTTCTCTCTCTCTCTTTCTCTCTTTCAAGACTTGCTCATTCCATATAGTACACTATAAGATATGATTTAAATCATGTTTTAGAACTGCTCTCCCTTCCTTTGCTGTATGCTGGAATTGCAGAGATACAATTTTTGAGTCCTCTTACTGCACTCCCAAGCCTAAAGAAGGGCACTGTAATATAAAGGACCAGTCTCACAGCGAACTAGTTCCTGATACTCATACTGCATGTCTTAAGGCAGAAATAAGAACTTACCTTCAGTTAAACCTCAGTATGTCAAATACCAAAAAATCATTTTTCAAAACTCTGCTCCCTCCCAGAATATTTATTATTAAATGAAACTTTTATACTCACAGCATCAGCCTCAGCTTTTTCTCTGGAAACTCTCCCACCTGCCACTATTGATTCCAGTGCTGTGACCCAGCGCTGTTTGTCAGGGAAGCTGGGTGCTAACAGGTAGAGTGTTCTACCAGGCCAGCAAGTGGTGTGTGGATGAGACTCCAATTTTAGGATATATGGCACATCTGAGATGTTGCATAGATAGAATAAGACTTAGATTAGATTTTGGCATATTGTCAATGGACTTAAATCAACACCTTTCAGTGTTATTGGAGAGAAGTTGTATTTAGCACGATGTATTACCACAGCAATTTATACAGAGGTTTCTCCTTTTACAGGTCCTGCACAGGCTAGTCTCCTAAAGCTAAATATTAGCTAGATGTATACAAACCATACATACAGTGCTGTCTCTATAGTAAGTAAGAATCATTTCTTGTCTTTTATTCGAAAGAAATAACATTATGGGGAAAAAAGAACAGCCACTCAGCTAGTTTTTTCCTGTACTGTTCAAGAAGTATCTGTAAAAATCGGTTGTGGAAACCTTTGTTTTTAACAATCTGAAGCCTTTAATGTTTAAATCAAGACATACATAATCTTTTCATCAGTTCTATTCAATACATACAAATTAAAACATTAACACTTTTTCATAATAAGAGACTGTACACACCCACAGTATTTCTAAGTTAACGACTTTCTGCTTAGAGCACAATAGTGACACATATTACAGAACTTCACACTTCATAACGAGTACTGATCAAAGAAATGTAAAGTAAACCAAGTTTGCTTTTAAGTATGCTACAAAATGCTAATATTTACTTCCATTTGGCTTGATGATTATCTTATTCACAGTTCAAGTACCACGACAGAAGTAACTCCCTATGAGTAACCAAATCTAACCAAACCTATTCATTTCATTCAGAGAGGTAACCTTGAAATTGCACAGTTACAGAATGAAAGTTAAAGGGAAAAAAAAAATCTGTTTAGCCAAACAGAATACCAACTGATGGCAAATCAGATGAAATCCATTTGACCTCATTGATTCTCACCTGTCTTTGCTGTATTGGAAAGTTCAGTAGCTCCTACAGCTCCATGAACAGTTACATCCCCATCAGGAAGGCAGAGCTCAAATTCTTCCAGAGGCCTCTGTCCAGCTGCAGAGGGAATGGGGAGACGGAGTAAGAAAGAACAAGCAGTGAGGAAACTAACGGATAGCAAAATGAAGTGGATGCAGGCTGGATATTTCACAGCTGGATTGTGATAACATACTAGCAAATAAAACCATTAAAGACCCCAAAAAAACCCACAACAACACTGCCTTATTACAGAAGATTTAGCTAAATTACGTATGGCTACAGCAAGCAATCTTTAGGCCTTGTTCTTCCTAGAAATGCTAAGTTACCTTCTCTTGCTTCTGCATCATAAATGAGCACTTTTGTTCCTTCCAGGACAATATACTTCCTGTCCCAGCCCTGTTGCCCACGTTTATTATTCCTGAAGAAAATAAGCACAAACCCATGTTGGATTTTTTACTTGGATTATGAACAAAACAAACATGCAAATTTTAAAAGAGATTCCATTGGTAGCAAGAAGTTGTAATGAACATATCCAATTATCACATCGTAAGAGCCAGGATAATACACAGAACTGTCCCAAATGTTTCAGCACCTGACATGGCACCAACCATCACGTTCATTATACCTTGGCACTTTCATCCACCCTTCAAGACGTAGATTGCTGCTTGGCTCCTTCAGCTGCAGACCAGGAGAATTCATTTTATCCCGGCAGAATGCTTCAGAGAAATGCGTGGCATATTCTGCTGGCAGTCCACAAGTAGCTGGCAAGCAAGTTGAGCATTTTGGGTGACACATCACTTGGCATTCTGACAAAAAGACAGCGAAAAACTTATGTAAAATGATGAAAAAAGCATTACAGTTGCCTCAACTCCTAATGCACAAATCCCAGTTTTTGTCAGAATCTCCTTCTATTCTACATCAGATGTTTTCTAAAGTAGAATGTTTGCCCAAGAAATTTCAGCCTTCATGCTTGGTCATTCATTCAACCTTCACTGACAAGCAATTCCAGGCAGCTGATGCTTCTTCATTCTCGTCACACTACAGGCACACGCTCTGCTCTTACCAAGACATTTAGATGCCTGCCGTCCAAAGTGCACAGTATCCAGACACACTGCACATTTTGTTGCTCTCATATTTAGCCCCACATTAAAACGATGTGGGATATTATGATGCATTCGCTCTTTCAGGCGCCGACTGTACTCTGGAAGGGACAAAAATCTATTCTTAGAATGCGTATTGTGACAGGGATGAAAATTACAGTAGGTTTTGACATTTTAAAGCCAAGGTGACTGCATATTTCTATCCCTGATGAACAAGGACACTGCCTATTTTCCTTTGCAGCCTGCAGATCTTAAGCTACCTCAGTAATTACCTTTTACAGTTGCACAGAAGATGCCACTTGAAAACAGACTGTAGAGCTGACTTTGCTATTTTGGTGTAGCAAGATTATGCTGAACAATCCAACCAAATTTCAAGTCTGGACTTACCTCCAATTCCTAAAGATGTGCTGGACTAATCACAATTTTGCTTATAGGTAACAAACTCTCCAGCACCTATACTGTTGTAATCAATACATCACAGATCTTTTTCCTTTTTATGCCTTCATACTAACCACCAGTGGCGGTATATCTCAAAGCATACCTAAAACAGAACCTGTTAGTGGTTCTATTCTGTATTTTTGGTTGTTAATGAACAAAGTCAATCCTTCAAAGCACATTTTTTCATCAATAAGCATCATTCTTTTCCCTTTATCTGCCACTGAGGATATCTTTCTATGCCAATGCTACTCATTCTTATAGCACCCTGTGCTTCCCCAGCCTGTGATGGCCAGACCAGTGTGCGATTTTGGCTTGTCCCACCTTCAACTGAAGACTGGGAGGTTTTAGTTTGAAGTCTCCCTGTTTGACATTCATTCTTGAACACTAGTTAGATAAGTATAAAAGAGCAGAACCCTTAACCTGTTCACTGTTTCTGATGACCCTGTCGCATCCATTCTCAAAACTATGGAAGGGCATTACAGGTACTACTCTTGATCTTAGCCAGAAGGCTGAGAAACAATATCTCAATTTCTAGATAAGTAGATATCTATGTCTTTGAACTGGTATTTTCCTTTTATGCCTAACCAAATCTTCTCCTGTTACCAAAAATATTGAGGGGGGAAGGAGAGGGAGAGAGAGATCACACCCATATAAGATGAAAACATACAACAGAGAAGTTCATCAAGGACCTACCCTCTGGGGTGGAGGATTCCTTCCTGCGACTGGAGGGTGGAGCTAGCAGACTGATTGGGGTAGGCTGATGCTCTGGTGAGCGGACTATGGCAGACATGATGATCTGCTGCCTGGCTGTGGCTGGAGTGGATGGATGAGGGTGGTCTGATATTTTCCGATGAGCAGCTACAGATGAGATAAACACCACTCATTAGCATAACCAACACGAAGCACTAGCTCATAGCAGTGGTTCTATGTGACCATTCAATGGTTACAACCAGCAGAAAAACGTGTAGCCTTCCTGCATCTTCTTTGCAGTAGGTTAGAATTTAAACAACACATTACTGCTACAGTGACACACAATTAAAGGCATGTATTCAGACCAAAAAATGTGCGCCGCCTCCAGATTCACCTTTTCTGTTAACTCCTACCTTCCTCACGAGCAGATCTGAGCTCAATGCGTGTTTTCTGTAGAGCCTCCTCCAGCTCAGCAGAACGAGCTTTCTCCTTCTCCAGTGCCACTTTCAGCTCATTGTATTGCAGGGGAACCTGTGTGGGTAAAGAAGGGTCCTCTTTCCGCCGACTAAACAGGCCCTAGCAACAGAAACACACAGACAACTCCTAACTCCTAGTAAGAGATGGCTTAAACTAGGCAAAGTGAAACTAGCTAGTGGCAGTCCGGCCAGAGGGCCTAATGGTAATTCTGATATAAGTAAGGATGGATTTTTAGTTCATATTGGCACTGGAGAGAAAATGTTGAGATATGGATTAATTTAAAGGGGGACATACGTTACCTGCCAGTACTCACATGCTGAGTTTCCGAAAGCATCTAAACAGAGGATCTCAAAATATGTGGTTAAAATTAATTTAAATTACTTAATTCAATATGACAGAACTGCTTATGACAAAGACGTGACACAAGTCACATCACCTGACTAATCAATCCTATGCTAAAAGACAGCCACTCTAGATGCACAATATGTTCATACACACATACATACTTACTGTTAAAAGGAAAAAAAAGCACGGTTAAAGCTCTGTATTCCTACAACAACCTCACTGACTTGTAGCTATTGGGTTGGGAATAATAAGGTACTGCAAAGGACACATGAAAGACTTTCTGCCTAGCAAAGCTTATCCTCATTAACTTGGAATGCTCAAATGACACATCTATGCTACACATAAAAAAAGATAAAACAGAAAATTTTGAAAACACAGCACATAGCTATATAGAAAGCCATCATTTAGTTCTATGACTCTCAAACCTCTTTCACCCACCTTTTTCTTTTTTGCTGGTTGGTCCATCTTCGCTTGCAGGAAATCAATGAGTTTGGTTTGCTGAGAAATAGTGCCCTCCATTTTCACTTTTTCATGGGAATAGAGAACCTTTGAACCACACAAAGATGTCAGAAATTTCATCTGAATAGCAGAAACAAACAACTCAATAGCAGAACAGAGCTAAAAATACTGTACCGTATCTCATGACTCTGAAAAATACTGGATTAGGAAAGGGTCATATCCCAAAATTCCACCTTAAACGGGGAGCACAGAGTCCTGCCCTCTGTTTCCTCACCCTCACCTGAATGTTTTCCAGCTGATATTCCAGATCACTTCTTTCAGTCTTCAGAAGATCTGCTCGATCTAGAGCCTCCTGCAGACCTTGAGTTAAGCGGAAGATGTGGTTCTTTTGCAGATCCATTTGCTGCTGCAGCTTTGCCTGCTGTTAATAGCAAAAAAGTGGTGTACTTTTTTGTTTGTTGTTGCTGTTGTTTGTTGTCCTTATTTTTTTTTCTTACAAAGAGCTATTACATGCTATTCTTTTTTTTGCAGAAAGAAATAAAAAAAGATGATTGCACAGCTTGGACCTTCTTTAAAAGCTAAATCATGGAGAGCTTTGCAAAGCCTCATCTGTGGTCTCCAGCTACGCACCCACAGCACATTGGCTCCAGACTTGTTTATAAGCTATGGTCCTCTGATTGGTGTAGGAAAGCCTTGTCTGGGCACAGACACTGCCTTGCAGGTGTGATCTAGGACATGCCTTGTCAATACAAGCTTCTCTAATAATCACTGGGACACTGGCTGAACCCAATCACCATTTCTATCACCAGACCTGCTTTGACATTCTCATTCAAGTACTGTGTCCACTGGCTGAAGAGCCCTTATTGCCAACTCTTGGCTCCCAGCCCACCTTTCCCTGCACAGCAGTTCACTTTTGTAACTCCCTGATGTGGCCACACATTTTGCAAAATTTTAGGTAAAAACAAAACTTCCATCTTCATTAATTGTCTAGTTACGATTGAGAAGGATGGATGTGCAATACTGCTACTGACTCAGCTTTATCTGGTCCTTCCCACAGTGTGGAACTTTCTTCTGAAGTTACAACTTGAATTTACAAGTTTACCTCCTCCAGAAGCCTCTGCTTGAGCTCCCTTTCTGTCTCAAGCTTCTGTTGTAAACTGCGTGCATTCATCTCCAACATAGCATGCTTCTTCTCCAGGTCATTGAGCTAAGCAGGTGGGACAGATGATCAGGACAACATAAAAGAGTGATAAATATAGTGTTTCACAATCTTAAAATTCAACCTCACCAAACACACACAGAAGAAAAATGATACAATTATCCTTTACTTACTATAAAGGGTTGAGGGGGAAAAAAACTGGTGTGCCACTGTTCAAATGTTGACATCAAGTTATTGACAGAACTCATTGTACACACCTGGTATCACAGCCATTCTCCAAAGGACACAAGTACTGACTGTGAGACAAATGGCTATAGAGCAGCCCCACAGAAAGGGATCTGGGAGTGCTGGACAGTAGGCTCAACATGAGCCAGCAGCTTGCCCTGGCAGCCAAGACCCCAATGGACCCCAATGCAAATGGCATTTTGGGGTCCATTAAACACAGCATAGGCACTCAGTCAAACAAGAGGATTATCCCACTACATTTACCATTGGTGCAGCCTCATCTTGAATAGTGTGTGCAGTTCTGGGCTCTGCACAGCATTAAAAGGATAAAGATTAAGATACTTGAAAGAATCCAAAAGAAAGAGGAGAACAACAAAGCTGGTAAAAGGGCTAGAAGGCATGTTCTGTGAGGATAGGCTTGAGGACAAGTGGGTTGTCCAATGTGAAGAAAAGGTGGGCCAAAAGGTGACTTCATTGCCTCTTCTCCTATTGCCTCGTTGAAAGAGGCAAGAGGTGCCTCTTTCTCCCTACTATCTGAGGATAGAATGCAAGTGAATGGCCCAGAGCTGCACCAAGGGAGGTTCAGACTGTACATTAAGAAACATTTCTTCACTGTGTGGCTGGTCAAATACCAGAGACAGGCTTCCTAGTGAGGTGGTTGATGCCCAGTGTCTGTCAGGGTTCAAAGGGCATTTGGTAAAGCCCTTAATAACATGCTTCAACTTGCAGATAGCCCTGAAGTAATCAGACAGTTGGACGAGATGTTCTTTGTAGGTCCCTTCCAACTGAACTATTCTATTGTTCTAAAATTAAATTCTAGGTCTTTGGCTTGAAGCTAGAATTCTATCCTGTTGATCTACAGTATTTATTTTGCTCTTGCATCTTGAAAAAGCTGCTCAGGACCACAATTCTAGAAATCATATCTTTATAAAAGAAAGGTATCTCAGCTCGTAATGAAAGCGTAGGATTGAAAATTGCTTACCTTATCAGAAAGGCTCTCAGCTTTGAGTTTTTGTTCTTTTAGTGCTTGCTGGAGGGCTAGAATCTCTGCCTTGTGTTCTTTGACAGCTAGTTCTACCACCTGGCGAGATTCAGTAATACGCTGATCTGCTCTCACTCTGAATTAAAATGGAAGACAATGTTACCTAACACCTTTCTGGGTTTGACCTCTTCCTAGCATGCAGTGGCATCAATAACTTTCAGAGGTTTGCCTCAAATTCAAGATGTTACTTTACAAAGCCTGACTGCTTGTTGCAACACTTGTATTATACAACCTTGCCCCACTCTAGAAAAGCTGCTTGAAAATTTCAATACCCTGCAGTTACACTTTGGAGCAAGGACCAACTTTTCATATAATAAAGTAAAAGAGAAAAAAAAGATGAAGACTTCTATAAATTCCAGTGATAAATACCACACCCTCTTGAATCACTTACTTGCAAAAAAACAAAAGGAACCATATTAGTGGTGAATGACTGTTAACTAATATGCCATTTTTAGAACTACTTCACAAGAATTTATATTTAGTTCCCACTCCCATATCCTATTCCAAATATATTTTTGTACTAGCTTCTATAGAGCATATGCATACAAGTTAATATAAAAGGGGAGGAGGGGACAAAAGACCTGCTCTGTTTCTCAGTATCCAGCATCCTCTGCAACTCTCTGACACGACATTCAAACTGAGACTTCTCATCCCCTAGAACATTTCTCCAAGCTTCCCACTGACGCTCTTTCTCCAGGAGTTCATCGTTCAGGGCCTCCAAGTCCATTACTTGCTCTTCCAGCATTGTACATGTTGTCTTCAAGGCCTCCATAGTCTAAAAATAAATCCTCCTATCAATTCTCACATCCCACATCAAGCATGCACTTTAAGCTTCAGCCTTACCATTTAACTTAGAGTACATGCAAATTGGCAGCAAACATAAGCTGGTAAATCACAACCCATTTATTTCCAACTTGTGATTGCCTTTAATGTCAGCTCAATCTCATTATGAAGATTTGAAATTGCCAAGGTCACAAAATTAAATAATTCCATGTTATGATACCTTCAGAATGCAAAATTTCTTCGCAGAATAATACAAAGAGAAGTAACAAAAATTTTCAATTCGTTCAAGTACTTGGGGAAGGAAGGCTTGAGCAATAATTGGTTGAACTGCCCCTAGAAGCATATTCATTCTCTACAGGCTTCCAGATTTAACATAATTTTTAGCCTTTCACATAACCACCTAGCTATCATGGAAAGATTGTAGTCCAGATCTCTCTAAATCTTTACTAAATCCTTACTTGTTTCTGACTGGTAAGCTGCATCTCTCTCTCAGTGATCTCTCGACGGAGATGGTCAACTTCACTTCGCAACTGGACAACCTCATCATTGGCCCCTGAGGCCTCATCAAGTTGTTTGGACAGGAAGAAATTCTGATTGTTCAGTTCTGCATTGTCTTCACTGAGCTGGTTCAGCTGTTCTTCCAAATCTGTGATCACCTAGAAAGAAAGATAAATTAGATTCAGTGAGTGCAGGTTGTTTTCAAAGTGTTCTCCTCTCACAGGAACATTTACTGCCAAGCAAGAAGACCACTTGGCTTCTTTTTTTTTTTTTCCCCCTTTTCAAATTTACACACATGAAACACGATAATGACAGATTTTATGCAGTGGGAGTACTTTGATTACAAACAGAGTTGATTCGTGCAGAAAACACCTTGAAATTTTCTTTAAGTTTTGTTTAGAGTATAAATAGGCCATAACAACTTCTTTGAGAGAGAACTGCCTTATTTAAGGCACTGTGCTAGGAGTCAGGAGTTCTGGTTGTATTCTCAAATCTGCTGCTGACTCAGTGTGCTTTTGCCAAACCACTTTTTTTTTTTTTGCCTTAATTTCTCCTCAAGTAAAATGAGGCTAACGCTTCTTACAGAGACTTTTGAAGCGTGATATTTAAGAAAATTGAACAAGAGGTGCAAAGAAGGCAGTATAATCTGATGAATCCTTCTAGCAATTGCGGAGATTACTATAAACAGCATTGTACGTAGCCAGAAAAAGCAGAAAAATTGAGAAATGTACTTCATCAAAGTAATATCAGCATAGGATATAGGAAGAAAAAAATGTGGCAGCACAACAGACTAATAGAAAAATGAGTGAAAAGCAGAAATTCAGCATGCACAATAGCCTTGCCTTTAATGAAGAGGAAGCATTTATCTCTTAAATCAGAATAGCATTGTACTACAATGCTTTAAACCACATTCTGCTTCAATTTAAAGAACAACAGGAACAACAGTGGGCTCTTTTCACAGTTCTTTTTGATTTTTCATGAGTGAAAGGCCATCAGCACTGGGTGGGTGAATATTTGTACCTCCTAACTAAAAAAATGTCATCACAACAGAAGGGGAAGGATCCTCGGAATAATGTGAACAAAAAGAATTTCAGAAACTAGAAAAGTTCTACAATTAACATTCAACTATTAGAAATACAATCAAGAGGCATTTTTGCCTAGACGCCAAAGAAAGGTGAATAAACACTTCATTAAATGGGAAAAAATATAATCCCTCAGAACACAGTTGGCCACATTCAAACGTGTAGGGAATTGGAACCTTTACAAGTCAAGCACTTAAATAAATAAAGCAGTGAAGTGTTGCACGTCTCTTCTCAGCTATCTGAAAAGATGGCAACTACTTCGTTTTGAAGAATCTGTAAAGCAGGTATTGGCTGCTTCTTACCATGCCTCTCCCAGATCTAAATTAGCAGTATTTGATTGTTGGCAGAAAAAGTCCAAGTGCCATTATTCTCTGCTGGGTGAAGGGGAGATTCCTGCTATTCACACGTTTGGGGTCAAATCAAAGTGATTCTAAACACTCCCTAAAACACAACGCTGCTGATAAAAATCTGCTCATGTGGATGTTTCCTGAGCACTCTTCCTGCCCTGTTCAAAATGTGCATTTTGAGTGAAATTCCCAAAGAACTCGGACTGTATCATAAGGATATCTTAGTGCCAAAGTGTTACAGGGATACTTGTAAATGTATTTATGAAACCAAAAAGGAACAGAAGAACACTTGCTTTTACAGTGTTTTACCCACTATTCATACAAACAACACAGGCGATTTCCCCTAGCTGCCAGATCAGATAATACCCTTCCTTTTCTTCTACCTTTATTTTATTTTCTGCTTATTTAACCACACTAATGAGTTTCAGGCAATCTGTTACAGATCTTTGATCTCTTCCATTTTCATTTTATATATTAATTCAAGTACTTTCTATAAAGTGTATTATGCTATATTTGAAATATAAGAGAGACGTGAGGGGTAAATCCAAAATTGGTATGGTGACATAAAGATGCAGTACTTCAAACTACAAGGAGGCTGTGGATGCCCCATCCCTGCAGGCATCCAAGGCCAGGCTGGATGTGGCCCTGGGCAGCCTGGTCTGCTGGTTGGCGACCTGCACACAGCAGGGGGTTGGAACTGGATGAGCACTGTGGTCCTTTTCAACCCAGGACATTCTATGATTGTGATTTCAAGACAGCTGAATAACTTAATGGCTTAAACTTTATTCATCCTTATTCTATGTTCTAAGATTTTGACTTCTTTCTCTGGGTATAACCAAAGTTAAACCAAACCAACAAAGTGACTTGGCTTAAATTCTGAACACGATGTACAACCTACATAACATAATGTAGTTAGAGTTTCTTCATTTATTTTAAAGAGAGAGAGTTGTTCTTCTCATAATCTTCCGTTGTTTTTTTCCTTTTTCACAGGGAAAAGGAAAATATCTTGACAACATTTTGTTTTAAATCTAGCTGCAGGTATATATAATCCAATAGGGTTATAGAATTTATAAACACTATAAAGCTTAAGTGATGATAGATAACAGTGTCACAGGAAAATGAGATGATGTGTGATGTAAATGCCTGTCCTGGGAACCAAAACCAAAGAGCACATGATAAGGGATGTGACCTTAGGCATACATACATACATACATACAAACAACTATGCCAGAATCCCATACCTGAAAAGAATTAATAGTTTTAGGCATTTTTCTTTTCAGTTAGGGAACTCCCCAAGCAAAACAAACAAAAAAACTGAGCTGTAGCTATGAAGTTAAATTTGTAAATCTATATTTAAGGAAAGCCTACAATGAAACACTATTATAGCTTTTTAAAATCCAAAACATCATTACAAAAGTCTTCAGAAAACAACCAAACATTTGAAAGCTTAGGGGAATACTCCCAGGCAATCTAGGCAGAACATCTGCACCATGCACCACCACTCACAGAGCTAACAAAATGTTCTCCTCAGTCTACGTGCATCTTCATGTACATCTGTGTTCATCTTCACCCCAACAAATCCAGAAAATTGAGAAAAATCTAACATGACCACACCAAACTTGACAGACTGTTCACTACATACCACATCTAAGCACACAACTTATCTTCATATAGATACCAAAGATGGTATCTCATTTCAAACATTACAGAGTAACCCAAGCATAACAAACTTCAGCAAAAGTGATCATACTCAGCACAATTCCCTCCCCACTGCACAGTATCAGAGGGGTAAAGTGTTTCTATATTGTATATCATACACAATGTACAAAATTTAATCCATCCTCTCCATGCATCAAAACTACAGTCAAAATAACATGGGAAAGGAAAAAAAAAGAAGCAGTTTTAGAATACTCTTAAGTGCAGTTTGCAAGCTTCTCCAAAGCTATGCTGAGATCTTTCAGGAAGATGTCCCTGTTCTCAGATGCCATCAATAAATGCATAAATGGGAAATGTTAGGACAGTACAAGGTTAAACGCTTCAGAATGCTATCAGCAACACGTTATTTGGTGTTTAATTCAATTTTTAGCACAATTTTCATTCAGAACTTACAAACGAATGCAAAATTTTACCCCATTCATTTCCAGTCCCCACCCTGATCTTTACTAAAACGTTAGCTGTCAGAAGTTAATAGGAAAAAAACAAAACTATCTCACATCCCCAAGTTATCATAAGGAGCACATGAGAAAGGACTGCCCTTCACTTTAACTTATTACATGTGGATCTGAGAGATGAAGCCTTTCTAGCAGAGAAATACCAACCATCTTAATGGAGCAGAATATCAGGCCTCTTACTGACAACAGCTGCAGACAGATACTGGCCTTGTACGTCTACCTAGATGATGAATATGTAACAACTAATTCCTCACTTTCCTCCTCTCTCCATAATCAGACAACATCTGTGACTTGAAAAATACCTTACACTGAAATTTCAGTCTCCAAAAATTCATCATGGCATAGCTTGCAGGACACTGCTCCTGTTAACAGCCGCAGAGCAGTGGAATATTTCACTGTCTGTGTTCCCTTCCTTCCCACACCAACCCATCCTTAAAACATACAGTCTCCTGCTGTCCTCCATCCTTGTCCTCAGAAGATGAGCTGCCACTCCAATCACGAGCCTCACTCTCAAATCATGGCAGTCATGCACACAGAAGGTCCCGTTGGCCTCTTTCACAGCAATATCACTGCAACACCCTCAAAATCTATGATGCTTTGCCAAACTACAAAAACTCCACTTCTGCAGTAACATTTTTCATTAAATGAAATGGCCCCTCCCAACAACAGACAGTTGTAAATACATGTACTCACAGGCATGCACGTTTGTTTGTTTGTTTGTTTGTTTTATCAATTTAACTAAGCCATAAAGAAGTTTTTGCCTGGGTATTAGGCTAGTGGGAAAGATCTTTGGGAAAGAAGAGATAATTTAGCAAAAGTATATAACATGTCTGGACATAATTTTGAACATGTAAGATTTACTCTTGCACGTCA